TTGGATGATCACTTAATACTCTTTAGGGCAGGGATGTCCTGACCACACTGGAGGAATGGGCTGACAGGGATGTTATGAAATTCAACAAGTAGAGCTGCAAAGTCCTCTATCTGTTTGGGAGCAACCCCTGCAGTGATACAGGCTGGGGACTGGCTGGTTGGGAGCAGCCCTGGTGAAGAGCAGTGGGGGATCTTGGTGGGCAGAAGGCTGCACAGGAGCCAGCAGTGGGTCCTGGCAGCAAGGCAGGTCAGCAGTGCCCGGGGCTGTATGAACAGGAGCATGGCCAGGAGATTGAAGGAAACCATTTCCCCCCACTACTCACCACTTGGTGAATTACATAGCTAGGCAGCATCCTGTGTTGCCTCACCCCACCCCCAAATTCAAGACAGACAACAATAAACTGGAGCAAGTCTAGAGAAGGGCAACCAAAATGGTCAGGGACTTGCTCAGTCGGGAACCTAACAGCAGCCCTTACAGTGTTTCCCAAGAGGTGGCCAAGAACATGAAGCTAGGCTCCTCACTTGCTGTGTGGTGGGAGCATGAGAAAAAACAGGTATGAGCTAAAACAAAGGAGGTTTAGACTGATTATAAGGGAAAAATGTTTTTCCCCTATGTGGATGGTACCAGGAGCCTAATGACACTCTGCAGAGTCATTCCTTGGAGTCAGTCAAAACCTGACAGTTAAAAAATAATTTTAAAAGGCAAAATAAGCCCCAAATTAAATAATGCAAAGTCTTGGTAACAGAGAGGAGTGGCACTGTTGGAAACCTGGAATTGTGTTGGTTCTTCATGTGGCAGGTCATGATAATGTTAGCAAAACTGCAGAACTGAGTGTAGCAGGTTATTTGCATTACAAAGGGAACAATAAGATAAGTCAATACTTAATAGAGAAATTAAATAAATGGGCTTTTTTATTTCATTCCATGTTGTACAGAATTTTGGTGAAATGCACTGTCTGTTAGAAAAGACGGGTCACTGTCTGAAATTATGCATGTCAAATGAGAAAGTGCTGAAAGAATTTGAACTATGTAAAACATGTCACAAGAACCAGCTATTCTGTCCACTCTTTTTTTCTGAATTTCTTCTTTTCACTTTGCCTCAGATCCCATTAATTTGGAAATCTGGAAATCAGTTTGGGATAAGGACACTAGAATGCCCTGTCTTTGTCTTTTATGTTATGAAATGAATATGTCTTACATTTGACTAATAGACTAATGTGTGAACCCTGTATTTTCAATAGCATGAGAGATCAAATATTTGCTTATCAAAATGAGAATTGAATATTGGAAAAAAAAAAGAAATTACAGACTTCTAGAAAGCAGAGTTACAATTTTCTTTTTTCTTCTTTTTCTTCTATAAACAGCACATCTGAAAGAATGTTCTTTGGCATATCTTTTTTCCTGAAGGCCTTTAGAGGAGATCCCATGATATTTGCAAGAAAAAGAGTCCAATAATTGAGTCACCCATAAGAGAATGAAAATGATAATTAACATTTATATCGCATATTTTATGAAAAAGACACTTCACAAATAATTGAACAACATTGCTGAAATAAATAGTATCAACCAGAAATCTCCTGAGAAAAAGCAGATCAAGTATACTGTGAGTAAGTCTTTACTCTTGGAGAGCTCCACATGGCATTATTGTGCTTTTCAAAATGAAAACAGGATTTTGTTTGTTAATGTTATTCTTTGCACATTCTTTCTGCTTTAAATTAGAACATCAAGGAATTGAGGCACCTTGGTTTTTGCTTGTCAAAATAATCAAGAATGATAGGTGAATTGGGACAGATCCCAAATCTCAACAAAAGCATGTTTGTATTTGAAAACAAAATGTAAAATCTTGTCTCCTGCTCTTCTTCCTCCCATCCCATTTTTCTTTTTCTTCCCATACTTTTGTTTTTATTGTACTTGCTGGTCTGGGAACTATTAAAAGAGGACTAGAAAAGCTCTGCTTTGCCCCCAGATGTGCTGTGATACGATCTTGTTGGAATCTCCATTTTTTGAGATCTAACCCACAGAGAGCCAGTTGAGGTAAGCAAGTAAATTTTGAGTGCTTGACTTTGTTACTTAAACATTAGTTTGGTGCTGAAAAGGAGGAGTCACTAGAGGATCAGAGTTTTTGTCTTTTCCTGTTTGATCTGTTTGAGACTTTTCATTCTTGCACTTAGCTTAATATTCTTGCCTTTTATGTTAAAGCTGTAACACAAAACTGTCATTAACTGAATCTTTGTTGTTTAATATTTTCTTTCTGAGGAGTCAAAGGATGGGTAACATACTTCCAGGCCTGTGTGAATGAGAGAAACCTGAGGAATGTCCTAGGTTTGGTAACTTTGAAATCAGATTCTCTCTCTGTTTCAATGGAGGAGAGAATTGGATATCTGAGGAGGTCAATTGGAGGAGAACCTGAACAGCATTATGGAAGCATCCAGCAGTGCAGGATAGTGCTTCAAGTCCCAGGAACTCCCTTATGTTCCCTTGTTTAGTTTTGCACTGTGGTAGTTAACATCCATTGAAATGGCAGGAGGATTTAGGAGAAAGGAAAGTGGAAGCTGATTTTTTTCTTTTTTCATTTTTTCATGTAGCAGAGGTTTCCTAGGAAAGGTTAGTCCTGCAAGAGGAGGGGACTATATCAGAAAATTATAAAAGGATATTATATAACTGATTCTTGTACTCTTGACATATATCTAATGGAAAGTTACACTTGCATCTGCTTATAGCAAAATTGTCCCTGACAAAGCATATCCTTGATAAGACAGAAGAAAATGCATCTTGACATAGGTTTTTGAACTCTGGGCTGGGAAGAGCCCAGAGTCTCAAGGGGAAGGTTAAATATCTACATGGAACACCTAAATGGTTGGATAGTGCACCAAGGAGGAAGAAGTAAGATGGCAGCAGAGAAGAAAGTAGTTGTGAAAAGAGGGATGGGACTATATTTATGTATGAGAGAGGTTGTGAGGTAGGCAAGTAATTAATATGTTTGTTTCACTAAGATTTCTCTGAGTAGAAGCTGGCCTTTGTGCCTTTTTTTGGAAGGTGTTGTGTAATCTTTTGAAGGAAAGTGAGTTTGCCATAAGACAAACAGGAGAGTCCAGTTTACACTAATACAAAGACAGCTCTGTGTGACCATGGAGCAATTTTTCCCATTACTTCTCCCAAGAGACAGTTACATCAAATGACTGATTTCTTATTTTTTAATTTTGAAGAGAAAAAATAGAATATGGTTTCTGGAGCATTTTGAAAACAGTATTTCAACTTAAAAAACAATAAGAATGGCATGTTTGCTCTCTGTATCCATCTTTCTGCCATTTAACATTCTTTTGGTGTGGTGTTTTGGGATACCCGCTGTCTAACTGTACAGCCTTTCAAATATCTTTTCATCTCAAACATATTTTCATCTTTTCAAATTGTACCTGTCTCATCACTGTTCAGAGTGTTCATATTCAAGATCTGAATCCTCCCAAAGATTCTTCAGGTAATAGTGTTTGGGGATTTTTGGGAGTCTGTCTCAAATATTGACTTTCAAGTTGCGTTTCCCAGACTTGAGTTACTGAATAATAAAAACATTTCCTTATGTCCAAATTCAGATAGTATGATGGGTCTGGAACACATCCCCATAGTCCAGCTGTTTTTGTTATAGCTGTGTGCTGTTCATATTGATTAGAAGAGCTTGAAATTCCTCAGGTTTGTCTCTAAGACAATGACTGCTGGTTTCTTTTTTGAAGTTCTTCTTGAATTATGGCAAACATGAAGTCTTTTTAAATACATGATTAATCTGATCTTTAAGAAGCGTTCCCATATGCTTCAAGATATTACTTTTTTATTTTAAACTACTAGTTTCTAACCCAGGTACGAGCTCTGTGATTTTCCCTGCTTAGAAACACTATAGAAGCAGAACAATGTCAGGTCCAGTCAAGCAGGGAATGGGAGCAGACTAAGCCTACTGAGGAACTTCACATATTGTAAGCAAGGGGTATGTTTAGGTTTGGTTGTTGATGATTCTTTTGGGTTTGGTTTTGGTTGGATTTTTTTTTTTTTGTGCTATTTTTTTCCCCTTGGTGACAGTTTTGGGTTTTCTTTGTTTGTTGGGTTGTTCCTTATTTGGTTTTGGGGTTTTTGTTTTGAGGGAGAGAGAGAGAGAGCTATTACTACTTACTTGAATAGATTTAATTTCTTTGGAAACTTTTCCAGATACTCAGACTAAATTCTTCATTTTCTTCTGCTTTACCCTTTCCTTCCCTTCTTCTCACTTGTGAGTGGGACCAAATGCTTTGCTCACTTGGCTCATTGTAAACATGGAATGCAACAGCTTTTAATGAAAAAATGGAACTCCTTTTCTATCTAAAGTAATGTAACTGGTGAGAAGATCACCCTGGAATGAGAAGTGTTGCTTTATTCCTTTCAATGTGTGTTGTACCCATTAACTCACCAGACACTTAGGAAAGGGAAAATTATAAAGTATTTTTAAATTGCCAACACTAGATACAACTGAAAAAATGACATTTAGATTTTTCAAGTCCAGTTCTTTTCCTGAATAAATATTTACAATGTCTGTTTATTATGTCATGTCAAATTAAACTAGTATTTATTTTCCCTGGATGAAAGCCACAAGTAGCCTGAATTAACCTTAAGAAAAATGTTGAGATTGCAAAAATACTGAGGTCAATATAGCAAACAGTTCTCTGAGTACTGCAAATGCTGTTTTTGCAGTTTAAGTCCAGCTCTCTTGGATAAAACAGTGAAAATGTCTCTCAGATCATTTCCCCATTAATAGAAAGTTTGATATTCATTATTTTATTTTCATGAAATATAAGTAATAAAATGGTAATGTTTTACCCTTAGTGGTGGAAAAAATCTTCTATCAAACCCCAGAAGAATATTGCAGGGGGAGCCTGATAATATTTTCTTATGCTAATTCTCATTTTGAAGTGGGAGTGAATGATGTCATCCTGTCTCCTCCCACTGTGTAAACTAAGCTCGTGTCAAAGTGTTGCTGCCTCTTGTCACAGAGAGAACGGTTCACTTAAATGCAGCTGCAGTACTTCTGTGTGATACCTGTCAGAGCCATTCCCAGTGCGAGGTTGGGTTTGTGACCATGATGTCAAGATTTGTCTGTCTTCTTTTCTGTGGATATATTGCACTAAACCTGGGAAATACTCAGAAACTGCCAAGAGGCAAGTAGCTATGAACAACTTTCTGGGGGTTTGTTTGTTTTTCTGTTGTGGGACTTCGGGGTTTTTAAAGCCTGTGTTTTGTTATGGAAATTTGCTTACAACATGTTAGAAATGATTAAGAGTAATAGACAAAATGAAAGAAGGTCGGGGAAAAGGGCAAATCTAGGTATAACAGCAACCTTAAAGCTCTTGAATAAAATAAGCTCAAAAGTTTTCATGGTATCTTGTGACTCTAGTGAGAATTATCATGACAAAGTTGCTGTATTTAGTGATTTTATAGTGATTTGGACAGCAGTGTGCAGGTCTGTGGTTTAATATCTTAAAGACAATGTGACTTGGAAGCACCCTGTTTCGCTGGTGGAAGATTTCAGTTCCGTCTTTGAAAGAACTTGTATACTTTCCTTTATATCTATCCTAACAATTCAGTAGGAATTGACTAGTGTTGGTGAGGTTGCATGCATTTTGAGGGAGAGAAATATGATTGATTAAAATTTATACAAGTAGAAAAACCCCTCCAACCTGTGTGAATATTTGTTTAACCATTCCTTTCTCCCAGAGTCTGGAAGTACAGTAGATTTGCAAAGCTGGCAGTGATCTCTTCTTCTCTTTGGTTATATGACACATGTAGCATTGGCATTTTAAGAGTAGTTTATTGTTTACTGCAGGAAGAGCACTCATAGCATAAAATGAAAAGATTATTTCTCTATCAGGATGGTAAAACACTTCGTAGTTCCTTGGCATTAAGGCAGCAATTTCACAACTGTTTCTGTACTGCACGTATTGTTCTCACTTTGTGGCAGTGCTTGCCTGAGTCCACTGTGCTTTGTAATGCATTTTACATCTGCATTCTTCTGCAGCCACTGAAGATTTAGAAGAACCTGTGATTTAGTTATGAGAGTGTTTATTAAGAAATAAGTGCTTTGAGGGCTTCCTAAGGAGAATCTCTTTCATAGAAGGGAAACCTAAAGTTATTTTGGGGAGTTGAGGTGATTTTTCATCTCTACCCCTCTTTAAGATACTTTTTTTCCCCCCAGAATTTCATTATTTTTCTTTTTTTTCTATGATGATATTCTTTTGAAATTATCTTTCTTTTAATCTCATCTTCTGGAGCCAATGTGGAGTTTTTTGCATACTGGTAAAAGTGAAACAGTGTGTAGTCTGCAAGTAACAGATATGCAGTTCCAGTCAAGCTAACTCTAAGAATTTCGTTTTGTCAAAAAAGGACTTAAGAAAGGATTATGTTGACCAGACAGGGATCTTGTATATATTGCCTAGACTGAGGGAAGGAACTTTTCCAGTGCTTGTCTTTTTAAATGATTTAACTGGACTTTCTGCTCACTACTGTATAATAGTGGCTCTAAGTTTATGCTAACTGTGAAGTTCAGACAAAGCTTCTAATCCAATGCAAGATTAACTCTGGCATGCATTTTTTCTGTCCTAAAATAACATTGCAGAAGTGAAGTTCTCTTTGCCAAAAGCATAAAACTGCAGGTGGAAACTTCATTTCTTTTCAGTGAAATAACTTTTAAGATACTCCCATTGCAGTGTGGAAACATCAGTCTAATTCTTTCGTTTGTAGCTGCCTCTCCAGTTACAACTTTCAAATAATTGCATTGAAAAAGCAAGTGTATTAGTACTTAGCTGCTATCCAGAAATATTCAGCGGATTGTCCTCTACAGAATTGTCTTGTTTGATAGGGACTAGAGACTTTTTTTGTAAGCAGAGAGAATATGTGTTTTAGAAATGAAAACATGTACTGGTAATGTTCTAAGAGGGCTTCTTTGCCTTGCTCTGCAAGCTTAAATTCCAGTGAACTCCTGTGCTCTTTAAGTCCCAAAGTATGTAACTGAGGTTTCAGAGTCACTCTTGCTGTCTGGGGAACAGTGGAATCAAGTTCATAACTTGAAGGAGAGCAATCTAGCCAAACTCACTTTCTGGTGCAGGTACTTGTGGGAACAGGTTATCAGAGTAAATCTTGCCCTTCTTACCGGCACTTTGCAATTCTAGTGCTCAAGTCTTCTCTCCCAGAGGTGAAACACATTGACCCCATGTCTCATGGACTGGGATTTCCTTTCACTGGTAAAAGGTGAAAGGAACATCTTGCCTCCTGCAGCTGCAAAGGAACAGAGCCAGTACAGTGATTTCCAGAGCTGTTTGAGAGACTCTGTGCAAATGTGCTGGTCAGGAGGCTGGAACACAAATTGCTCCCTATTCCCATATATTTTTGTACTTTCACCTCCACATATGTGTGTTTTACTAGGATGAAAAAGAAAATATTATTGCTGTTCTCAAAAGTGTTTTTTTTTAATAATGAATTCTTTCATTGTTAATCAAAGATTAAGGTATTGTTGGAGGAAAAATAGTGATAAATAAAGACAATATAATTGGGAAAGGAAGGCTGGTGGGTAGTGTGTTTTAGTATGAAGGCACTGGATTTTTTACAATTATGTTTGTGTTTCATCTGGGGGATCAGCTGCTAAGAAAATTCTGCAGTCAGTGCCTTTGGATACTGAGTGAGGGATAACAGAACATCAGAGTGAGAGATGGTGGTACCATTACGGATGACATTTCATCCAGTATTTCAGCGGCTGTCTGTTCAACTTTGTCTAGCCTCTAAAGTTTTCTTCTAATTAGAATTTTTCTACTTGTTTTTGTCTCTGTCATTATGCCATTATGCCAGTGCCATCCAACATACATGATTCTAAAGTTCAACACTGTTGTGCTTTATTGATGGATGGAAACATGCTCTAATTTTTATGGCTCTGCATAACAGAAAAGTTCCATTATTAAAGAGCTCAGTGTTGTCTCTCTAGACAGGAATTAAGTACAGACAAAAAGACTTGTCTTTAGAGAATGAATTGGTTAGCAGATCATCCCAGATCTGTGACAGGGATGAGAAAACAAAGCCACAGAATCCAGAAGAAACAAGTTACAGGACGTAATCCCCGAGATTGTACTGCCTTATAAACCATGTTTCGCTGTCATCTTTCTAGTTGGAGCTGATACAATTGTTGAAGGAACAACTGAAGAATAAGTTCTTAGTGTTTGGTAAAACAGCATTTCATGTTTTTGATTTTGCCACTTGACTTTCCAGTTACAGCACAGAGGTGCATGGAAATGTGTTTTTTCACTAGAATGTCTGTTTCTGATAGCTTTTGTCTACATGTTCTGTTTTATTTTGTTAGAGCTGAAAAGAATTTAGGGGTTGATCCCTTCTTATAAAATTTCAGTTTTAGGTAGTTATTAAAAAAAAAAGAGCCTCAGTGTTTTTTTCTGGGTTTTTTTTCAGGGTATTTTTTGACATATTTCTGACCACTGTGGTTTTTCTACTATTTGAACTAGTCATCAGGTACAATGGAATGTAGGTCCATTCTGCTTCTTCTTTCCAAGACTCAGGCCTATCCTACTCTGCTGTCCAGGAAGGGCTCAGGAAACCCTAATTTGGCTTTCTCCTGGTTGCTGTCTTCTTAGGGAAAAAGAATATGGACTTGACATTTCTTAGGGGACCATGTGAAAAAGCCTGATTTACAGACTTCTATAGGGAAAACCAGATCCAAAACTTCCTTGTGTCTACAGTTGTCAGCAGTGGGGTTAAGTGGGAAAAATGATTGTTTTGCACTGAGGATTTATTTCTTTGTTTGGAAGTACTGAATATGTTTGGTCTGATATTGTAGATAGCTACTAGCTAATATTTGTACTTAAGGTAATTATAACTGACATCTCTTTTAGAGTGAATGCTGTATTTACAGTAGACTCCCAAACTTTGACATTTGAGAAAAGGAGTAGACTAATTTTATTCCTAGCTAAGTTTGCTGGCTATGCTATGTTACATAATACATCTTACTAAGCAGAGCATGTGTTTTCATTTACTAGTGTCAAACAGTTAAAACAATGAAGAGTTTTTTCAATGTATCACAGTTATTATATTGCAGCAACCAAACTTTAAACTTTTGTGCTGCCCTCTCCCTTCCTGCCAGAATCACCCCTTTGGTAGCTGTAGGGCGACAGGGCAAAAACTGTAAGACAGGGAAAAGTCTCATGGAAGTTGTGGGGTTTTGAGCATGCAATGAAGCTGGCATATCAAAATATCACAAAATGACATGTGGTTTATATGTTACTGTCCCCATGGTTTATAAAACATCTTTCTGAGAACTATTTTTCAAAAATCACAATGCATTAACCTTTAAAAAATGTTCTTATGAAGAAGAGCCAGTTTGAACTAAATTATTTCACTTTCTGTGTCTGGAAAAAGAAGTGCAAAATTAATTTGGGTTTTTTTTGTGAAATATTTTTCTTATGTTTAATAGCATATAAATGACAAGTCCAACAGTAAATTTAAAAGGGATGCTTTATCTGGTGTAATAGGGTTTTCAGTCACTAGATATGTCATGGCAAATTTGGCTGATTCTTAGCAGAGAGTGAAAACAGCTCATAAGAATGTAACAGTTATAGCAGTTCATTTAATCAAAGTTATCTTTTCATGCAGACAGTTGTGTCCTAGGCTTGCACATAAGCATATCAAAACCCAGTACTGAGTGTCAGGCTTCTGAGTTCAAAGATGATCTGTAATACTAGAATTCCATTTTTGTATTGGCACATGCAGTGGTGCAACATTGTGATGATACATATGGGTGGATTCTGCCAGAATTAAATTCCACTGCATATGAATGCCTCCAAAATGATCTCACTGCTGGATAATCTATATAACCTTCCACCTCTTCATTTTAATTTTCATGTTCCCAAGTATGTCTTTTTGAACCTTATTTTTCAGCCCTCCTTCATATAATCTTTGGCTCTAGCTGTTCCAGAAGGACAAGCTACATAATTCCCTTGGGGGGAGAGCTGTAGGCTAAATCTTGCTGCTGCTATGGGACCAGACCTACTGTGGATCTGTTGACTGATGATACAGTGGATGGACAATGGGTTTGAGCCTTCTTTGGACCTTTTGGACTCACCAGGTGTGCACTGCACACTGCATGTGGAAACAAAAACCTCTGTCT